ATATATATATATATATATATATATATAGCGTAGGCGTCAATAACTTTCTGGAAATTCTGACGCGTTCTGGCTGCGCCATTGGCAACCGGCATTTGACCAATACTTGGTCATGATTAGCTGTTGGGTCCAGCCTTTCGACCAATCAGATCTCGGCTTTATGCCGGACCGGCAAACGTCCCGAATTCTTGGCCAGTCTTGCGTGGGATTGGCTTCTTGGCCGTAGCAGCACCCGACTGCGAGCTATAAAGTGGGATCCGTGTGGAATTCCGCCTAACAAGACCCAAATCACCACCTTCTTTGAATCAATTCAAATTAAGCTCTTTTCTGAGTATCCGGGACATGTGGTCACGAAAAAACTCACTAATATCGCTTGCCTATCATTGATTAATCAATTAATCAGACGTGGGGCAAACTGCTGTAGACGCTTATACGTCCGTTTTTATTTTTCTGCTGAAAATGACCCTAGGGTGCATAGGACAATTCTCGAAGTTTGATTCGTATCATACAGCACTTAAAGTGGAATGAGCCCTTTGCAACTGAAAAGTTCTTGAGTGATCATTTTTTATGAACATTCTTCCCACAGAGTGAGCAAACAGCTGAGGAAAAACGAATGAGTCGTCGACGCGAATTGTTCGATCAACTCGTTACCAATTCAACGAACCGACTGTCCGGTATGAAGACAGACACCGGACCTGACACAAAGGCGAAATCTACTGTGGCGTACAAAGGTGCTGGTCAAATGCCCAAGGAAGACGATATCCGACGTCTGCGTTTATTTGTTGGTAGGTCACTGGGTTGGGCATTCGTGACATTTATTTTATGCTGCTCGCATAAATTCATCTGGGCGACGTATTCGCCAACACACCGGACTTCCTCTCCTTCACATGCCGGTCAGATTGGCCTACATGGAAGACAACTTACGGGGAACTATTTCTGCTGGGCTGATTATACTTTGTCAGATTTTCAAAGCCTGTTTGGTTCGTTATGCCATGTCGAAACGTATCTGGGATAGGTGAACTCGCTGACACGCGGGTCTAGTGATACCACCAACTCATGGGTGCCTCATGTGTTTTGCCACACATTTCATTGACCGTTTCTTCAAGATAATCACAACGAGACTATTGTTGCAAGTAGTAAAAGGTATGAACGCACCGTTCGGCTAACCGGCAAGCGATCGGTACATGATGCGGTAATTCGGTGGCCAACCTTGTTACGATCGAATAGCTTCTGTCATTATCCCGTATGTGAAAGCTTGGATGGCATTCGAGCAGTTGGAGAAGAACCATGATTGCATCCATACTTTCCTTTTATTTGTTGGCCCCATTTTTGTTTCCAGGGGACTCCATACTTTATTTCCTGCTTCCAGCATCCCAAGCATTGCAAATGACGATTGTGGTCAGTATGATGAATGTACCCAACATACGTAGCAACTGGTTGTGTTCGTTCCTTACGCATGACTGCTCGCTGTTCAACCAATCGTTGATTCTTGCGGTGAATTACTAACGGTCAGGTGACTGGTCACTGACGTGGGTTTGTATTCCAGTCCCGAATTCATTTGTTGACACAAAAATTGTAGAGAAGTTCGTAGACACAGGGCTTTTCGGATTTTTTTACTGCGAAGTTCAGTGGTATTGGTGGTCGTCATGCGCTACTCGTAAGGTTGCTGAAAATTCTTCGACAGCGACCTGATGTGTAGTGTATTACAAATATACTTGTATCGCGATATCCTGACTATCGTAGCAACTGAAACATGAGACGGCCTGGTGCAGCACGTTCAGTTGCCTGGAAACATCACAAACGAGAGATTCAGCTGGGTTCTAGGTGAGTCTCTCGAAAACCCAAATTTGTTTGCATACGAGCGTATTTTGCCATTGTTGGTCGTCTCTATTTATTCAGACCCATTTCCTGACTTAGAAATGGGCCCACCCTTATGCCATGATCCGTATACACAGCACTTCTCACTACCATTGATTATTCATTCGAATCTCTACAGCGTATACAATACACCGGGAATACACAGTGGCACTTGACAACCAGGGCGAGATGGCCCAGGTGGTTAGAGCGCGAATTTACTGACCGGAAGGTCCGTGGTTCGAACCCGACCTCCGCCACTCGACTTCCCCTGTCTAGGCTTGGGCGACCTGGTAGTATCCCAGGCCTCGTGCTTTTTTTGGGTAGCATGGTAGCTAGACACCGGAAGGATGTTACAGCTGAACGACTTTACTTGACAACCAAAGGACCATGAAGAATGCCCCAACAAAAAATGAGAACAGGGAGCGGCGATTTAAATTAAGACGTTTTGATTATCCACGGAAAACCAATCAAAAAGATGTGCTGGAATAAACATTTTTGTCGAGGCAGAGCGCTTTCAGTGGAATTTGTCTAGTACTCTTGGCAAACCCCACCCAGAACAGAACATGTGCAAAACCTTAGAAAAATGTTGGCTAGGAAGCGTTACACATGACACTGGGATCATTTATGTCATATTCTGTAGGATTCTGACTGGTCCTATCGTTACGTTAAAAGCTGCCATGTTCTAGTCCACATACCGTCACCTAATTTTTTGCCCTGGCTGTGTATTGATTTTCTAGATAAAAAGTATGAAACCGTCATCTTACCAATCTTCGGGCTCCCAACTCCGTTCCACATAAGCACGATCAAGAATGTGTCCACTTCGATTGAAGCGGATTACACATATTTGCGCATCAATTTCCATCACCCGGGGGCTATAGTCGGTGCGAAAGATGTCAGTGGATTTCAGGTGAGTTCTATTGGTAACCGTCCTTGAGTCAGCACAAGAGACTATTTCTATGCCTTTTCCCATCACTCGTGAGTTGGTTCGGTGTCTCAAACATTGTCGTTTCATTCTTCAGTGGTTGGATTCCTTGTTGCGGGGCGGTATTGCTAAATCCCGAAGCAGCGTTTTGTTGGATATGAACTCATTGGTGCTATCTAGGCGGCTGCTTAGATAGAGGTTAACAAGCCGTATGGTATAGTCTACTGCTTGTCGACTTGACCCACGTATGTGTCTTGAGCAGTTCCTCAGTCACTTGTGGCGGAATTAATATGTCATTAAGCAATACTAGTCACATGCCTTTTCTGTCAATGGTTTATGCTACGCGTCTACGTTCTTCCAAATTCGATGCTGTATGTCTTCCATCTCCCAGGAAAGTATATCATTTCCGCAGATCCGTCAATAGATCACTAAAACAAAGGCTTGTAGCCACTTCAAGCCAGTCGAAAGGAAAATCTGTGGCACATACATGTTTAGTATTGCTTGCAGACGTCCATTCGCGCACTCAAGCAACAACCGGTCCGAATAAACTTCTCGGATCGGCGTGAGTATCTTGTTAGCTATGAATTGGGTAGTTCGAAAGCATTTCTTGCAGTTTCTAATGTCACTGACAACACGGATACTTCCATCATCATCATCCATCCCAATAACTAGCATCCGGAGCGTACTCTTGACCCGCTTTTTACTGAACACCAAGTCTGATGCTTTATTGTTAAGGTTCTGATTTGTTGTTCTGTCAATTCATCTCGGTTTGAAATTGTTTGGTTAATGACTCCGAATTCAATCAAGGGTGTGTGGGAAGTCTAGTCTACTTTTTGTCAATCTCTACCACGTTATTTTTGTGTATTACGGCATTCGAATTGGCTCTTGTGCACCACGCAAAAGAAGAAATCATAGGGTCCTCGTATTTCGTAGTTTTCGAGCTCCATACTTGTTTTCCGACAAATCTTTTCAGACTCCGGAAGCGATATATGTCAAAGAAATGACCTATCGTGCATCCAACTTACGGCGTCATGGTGAGGCCACCATTCCAGCTACAAATCTGAACAATACCTGTCGCATTATCAAAGAGGTCTTGAAGCGGTTCCGGTCTCGGGAGGCTGAGGAACGCGAACGTGCAGATTTGGTTGAACAAGATCAGCTGATTGTGGACCATGCCAAAGGGGCATTCCGTTTGAAGGATCTTTACATTCGACCTAATATCGCAACCAAACGAATTACTGGTAAGTCGCTGTATCCTGTACCTGTTTGGCACTTTCAACTCGTGGTTTAGATCACTTCAGTGTACATTATGTTGCACGTCTTATGTTTGGCATCAGGCCTGATGCCCGAAATCACGCCATTCCGTACAAACTGCTTGTTGATATCACCATCCTAATGCCTCCTGTCTTTTTAGAATCCAATTGACAAGGGCTTAATGACATCTCCTAACTATTTAGTCTGAATACCAAAAATGCGTATGAATAACGTACCTACGTAGGTTACATTTCTTACTTGCCATCGGCTGGCTTCGTTCAGTCGATGATGTCTTTTGGTTTACTAACAACAGCGAGAGTGGGGAAGCGGTAACTCCGCATTGGGGCGATTACTTGAGTATTTCACTCTGACGCTGTTGCATAATATAGGTAGCTCGGGTGCGTTGCTTGGTTGTTAGTCTGTTCGCCACGCTTGGCAGTTGAGTTGCAAAAGTTACATCACCAATCGGGGTAACGTCACCTTGTTGTTGTCACCTTGATTGGTGATGAAACGTTGGCAACCCAACTGTCAAGCTTGGCGAAAAGACTAGTAACCAATTCCACAATGAATCTCAATCGTTTCCTGATGAAGCGAGACAGCTGCACCAACTTGACTAGGAGAGTGTGAGCGCCATTAGCCATATCTGCTAATCTTGCTAACCAATTCTGTGTCTCGTTTCAAAGCTCCCACCTGACCGGACGAAAGTAGCCGACGCCCCTAAGCTGACTGATCACTCCGTTGATGAACGCCTTGCGGCACTCTTGTGTTTCCAATGAATTGAGTAGCATTCAGTCCCAGGTTGGTGTCACAAGCGAGCAGGTGTTCTTGTATCTGGTGATTGCGAATTATCATAACCAGGCCGACAATCGTAGTTTCCAGTTTATTGCCAGTTGTTTCTTTTAAGGAGAGGAACATTGTTTTGGGCACAAACTAGATGTGTAGGTTACTATGGTTACTGTTGCGTCATACGTCCATATTTCCGCTATCAATCGTTTCGTTTATTAGGTACTCTCCAGACGCACACTAACGGTTTCCGTTTCACCTCCATCCGTGGTGATCAGATCGATATACTGTATAACAACATCAAACACGCTTTCTATCAGCCGTGCGACGGTGAGATGATTATCTTGCTTCATTTTCATCTCAAAGTAAGTATGCTTGTTTTGAGTGGATTGATGTCAATACTTCTGTCCTCTGCTGCTTTGAGTCGTACGAGCGCTCTGTGACTTTGGTAGTGGTGCTAGGCGTATCCACACTGACACAGCGCGGCGAAATGCGGTGCTTCCTGCGTCTCGCTGCTATATATCACCTAAGTTTTCCTCTTTGTAATCGCAATAATTTAGTCATCCATTGCCTCATGGTCTAGTCTAATGTGTACTTTGCTCGTAAGATAACTTCTTCATCAATCCGGCGAACTCCTACTAGCCTTGTCGCCAGCAGTCACCAGATTTACGTAACACAACCTTTGGATGCGCATGTTACTGTCCATCCGTCGATACCACCTGTGTAAACGGTCGTATTTTTCGACACCGGCTTCACTGACCTATATGTGGTCCGTTCTAAAAGTGCACTGTTTTCACCTCGATATGTCTCGAAAGAACTTTTGTATCTCTGACATCTACTGGATTGTGGCCACTCTTCACTGGTAGAGGTGTTATTATGCACCCAAAAAGCACATCGGCTTATCCAGTTAGGAATAGGCTTTTTCTCAATCCATTTTTCCTACTGTTCACCCGATTTTGTATAGTTTATCGCGATGGGTCGTACCCCCCAGGTTTTTTGTGTGGACTTTTCGGTATGTGAGTTTACGCCTTCCCCGTCAGGCTACCTCGAGCTTCTATGTTTATATTGTGAGCAGTACCTTCCGCTCGTTTCAACGAAGTTCCATGTACTGTCATTTCCTCTACACCCACCTGTTTACTCTCCAAAACTGGTTTTTATTCCGTACAGAACGCCATTATGTATGGAAAGAAGAAACAACAAGACATTCAGTTTTACACCGAAGTCGGGGAGTTGACCACTGATTTGAGCAAAGCTCATTCCCGAATGCAGGATCGTGATGACTTGGAGGCGGAACAGCGAGAGCGTGAAATGCGTGAGCAGATCAAGACCGCATTCCGCAGTTTTGTAGATAAAGCCGAAGCTTTGGCTCGTCGTTACAATTTGGAATTCGAGACGCCTTTCCGGGATCTGGGGTTCTACGGATGCCCCCACCGGTAAGGGTTTGGTTTCTTCCAGTAGGCTCCTAAAAATTAACAGATCAGTATTTCTCACTTAATATATCTAGTTAGGTAAGTGCGAATCCATGTCGAATCGCGAACACCTCCACACCATCACAGTCTCAGGATTTCGTTTGTTCCAACGATCCTCTCACTCAAGAATCACTAAATAAGAGCCGTTGGTATTTCGCAATCATAGTGAAGCAGCTGTAGCATATTGCCAGGTGTGTGCAGTGTGGACGACTTTGCCTCGCCCGAGTGAAACCAATCGTGTAGTCCACCTGCAGAGTCGCGTATGTCCAGCAATTTCATCGGATATTCCCGTGCCTGCTGCTCCTTAAGAACAGTGGATTTTCCGCACGTGGTGGCAGCAGGAGTCCGCTGCTTCGGTAATTGCATTCCTGGCATAAAAATCCCCTTATGGTGAGAGTCAGTTACACCTCAAAGAAGCTCCTTTATAGGTTTCGAATGACCTGGATTTTTTAGTCAATATAAACATTCTAAAGTGTCGCCATTCAGAGACTCATCGCAGAGAAATTCATCGAAGAGTTTTCAGCAACCTTGTGAGTAGTTTCCTTTATGAAAATATACTTCGATATCTCGAATGTCATGTCAACTGAAACATGACGCGGTCTGTGTGCAGCACATTCAATTGTAGAATATCATAAACGAGTGATTCAGTTGAGTCTCTCGTGTAAACCAAATTGATTCGCAAATGAGTGTATTTATCGAAAACAGTCCAATTTGGGTTCAAGCAGAACATAAGGTTGACGGAAACTCGGGGACTGCGCCTACCTGAAGAGTCCAAAGTGTAAGGACGAAACCGGTCGTGGGCTGTCGAAGGGTTTTCAGCAACCTTATGGGTAATTTCCTTTATGAAAATTCTCTTTTCTTGTTTCTTGTGTGGCTACTTTGCGCCCTTCACCATTTATTCACCGGTTGGTATCCACAATCATCTTGAGGGTTGTAATATGTGGGTATATATTTCCGGGAACAGCATGTCACCCGTACTCACATCACAGCTACTAAAGAACTGGAGTGAAGTTGCTCAGAAGGTTTCCGGCCGCAGATTGCTGTGATGCGAAGTGTGTCCCCGTTAGCTTCAGATCTTCAGCGATCGTACGCACCACAATGCTTTGTGTTATTTTTTAGAAGTGTAATTCCACGTGAAATGTCACTCCCCATGTAGCATCTTGAACACGCACAAACACCGACCGAGAGTGAATCTCCTGTTACCTGATATTTCATAGTTTCTGGTCTTTTTCAACTACTCTATATGGGGAAACGCTCTATTTTGGCAGTTAGATGCCAGTATTTACCACTAGTATGTCGCTGTCGGCGATCCTGATTCGATTGTGTTTGTTCCCCGGACAGCTCCACCGTGTTCCTGATGCCCACCAGCAGTGCCCTGATCAGCGTAACTGAACTCCCACCATTTGTCGTTACTTTGGATGAGGTGGAGTTTATCATGCTTGAACGAGTCACACTCTCTATTCGCACTTTCGACATGGTATTCGTGTTCAAAGACTACACCAAGAAACCTGCGATGATCAACTCGATCCCAAGCACAGCATTAGAATTGGTCAAAGAATGGCTACTGTGAGTACACTTCCAATTGTCTCTCTCTCTTACGCATTACTACTACCAGTACCTTCATCGAGAAACCATTGTCTCGGTTATCACTTGGATTTTTCGCTATTCAGCCCCGTTTCACAGTTTTTGCAACTCATGTTACCAGTCTTTCACTGCTTTCCATATCCGAGCACTGCTAGTGCTCTTCGTGATCACGAGTGGGGAGTGAGTGACACAGACAATGAGATGGCAAACTCAGCACTTAATGACTCCTTCCTGTTGACTGCGTTATCGATTTCTGGACGTCGTACAGTAGCAGTGTCCTCAGGCCTAATTGACGATAACGCGACTTAGTTTATTGGGCTTTGTGTTTTGGTAAAATGTTGGCCTTGTGAGTATGTGATATGCAAAATATTTTAAAGCTTATTTTCTGAAATATTGTATGCCGATGGTAATAGTAGTTTTTCTGGGTGTTACGGGCACTGCCTGAATCTTGAGGCGTTCGGTAGGAAGTTACGTGGAACTGGCTTTTTGTAGCATTTCGCGTTTCTTCACTCTCATATTTGCGTAGGCATATACTCACTGTCCCTAGAAACCTGTGATATTGTGTTGCTGAACTGAAAGATTCATCAGCTAATTGTTTCGACTGTTGCTTGTGTGACGAACATCACAGACACGATGCGGGTATACGGTAACCCTCTGTATGAGTTCACCGCGTCCATTGGCATAAAACAAGACTGCCCACCCTCGTCTTTCCTCCTGCTTTGTTATTCATGTACTGCTCGAAACTCCTCTGTCTGTCGCTGAAACTTCGGGGGTCGAAATGCCCCCGGGATGTCCGTCCACAGACATTGACTATGCGGACGATATTGCCCTCCCTGTTAAGATTTTCAGAGATGCAAACCATTTTAAATAACTAAACCAACTCTGCCGCATAGTTTGACATGCACTTCATACATGCAAAGTGAAAGTGTTTCTACAAGACTTCAGCAGCGTGATCCACCTCTTTTGCGTAACCACCAGCTCAACGCTTCTTATATGGACAACAAACTTCGTTTGACTGCGCAACAAGCACTGTTATCGCTTGTGATATTCCTTTTGTTTCGGGAAGCCGAACTATACCCCCCACTTTTCGGCCATTACGACTTGTACTCAAGAGAATTTTCACGCCATCTTTTTCTCCGGACATCCGAACATGAGCAGTGTTCATATGTAAGTGTTAGCCTCTGAAAAGGATTTTCTCCCGATGTGGACTAGTTTTTGAAAAAAATGGAATGCAACTGCCTCGCTAGTCTTTAGGAATGTGCCCAGACATGTTCAAAGGCATCATCCTGGCTTGTATGCTAGTCTCTTTGTGAGAGCCCTAACATTCTCGTGCTTAATAAGAATTCATGTGCGAATCACAGGAGCCTGTTGGTTCAGTGTTAGATCGCTACACTTGTCTGGCCGTTGACAATCTGCATTACTGATATTTACATTCATGCTCAGTGCTCCTCAACGTCATTGAGTCCTTAATCTATCAGGCCACCTCATGTCAAAAGGGAGAAAATTGAAGGACCGTGAAACGCGTTTTGTTGAGCACTCAGACCGTAAGATGTGCCCCGGTTCTGTACTTTGTCCTTGGGAGGACTATTTACGCAATACGTTCAATCTACGGTTTCACCCTAATGCTGTATTTTGCTGATATATCATAAGACCGGTCACGTGACCAGTCCAAATGGTTCCGTTCGTATGTCATCTACGGAGTACCTTACGTACTGTTGATCTGACGATGGAGGTCGGCAACGGCCTTAGCTACCAGAGTACGACTGTATGTTCCAGATCAACAAGGACTTGTGGACAGTTTGGTTTTGTCTTGGTCATGTGACCCATCTTTCGACTTAGCGGGCACATCCCAACTAATAAGGTTATAAATTCATTTCTGGCCAGTCGCCCCCGCTTGTCCTCCTTCAGTACAGTAAATACCCTTGGCCTAACGCTATTTAACACCAAGCTATATAACCCCAGAAACATGATTGCGTTCCTTTTCTTCAGTCTGGATACTAGTTGAGCTCGACCGCGACGATTCATAACTCCACGCTCTTCTAGTGTACCATCAGGGCGTATATATATATATCTGCATGGGCCCTTATTGGGTTAATCTTGTTGTCCGGGTGTACCGGACATTCTGAACGACCTGCCTGTATTTTCGGATCGAAATCCCCGAACAGCTGATTAACTGTTGCGTTGCCACAATCGATCACTTGTGTGACTCAAATGATTCCCTTTTGATTTCCTCTATTGACGTATGATTTCAGGTCCTGCGACCTGTACTATGCAGAGGGGACGAAGTCACTCAATTGGCCCAAGCTCATGAAATCCATATTGGACAATCCTGAGGGCTTTATCGAGGACGGGGGCTGGTCGTTCATCTCTCCTGAAGAGGTTTGTAATAGTAGTATGAAGCACAATTTTTTCACCATTTTCTAGTCCCATTTCTTTGTAAATAGCCACATTTTCTTGAGTTAATCAGGGAGCAACCGGATGGGTCCCCTCAATTGCTTCTCCGTGTCTCTCCCTGCAACGCCTTTCATCTCCATTCGACACACACCTCGACTGATGAGAATTCAGTCGACTTCATCTTGCCAGGCGCAGTTTGTTGTTCATGGTGACCTACTTTGTGTATGATCTCAAACTAGCTCAGTTGTTGATTCGCTGGTTGGAATTCAACCCCGGCATCTCATCTACTCCTCTCCAGGCCTGCGTGACCTGACAGTATCTTAGCCCTCGTGTTTTCCGCGAATAATATATCAGCTTCTCACCGGAAAACTGTTGCAGCTGAACGGTGTATATCATCATTTATTTTGCCTTCTGATACTCCCTGGATCACATGAGTGTGGTTACGAGTTTTTAGATAATCCAGATCAACGGAACGGCGACTGATAGCTAGCGTTTCAGCTGCTGCAGTTACTAAGTTTGAAGAGACATGTGCAGTTGTGTCATTGTACGGGTAGGACTTCTGAATAAAAGGGGCAGATTGTGAGCCCATAGGATAGCTTGTCCCTCTCTGTCACCCACCCAACTATCACCCACAGTATTATGTAGTTGATTGCAAGCGATAGTTGAAACGATTAGGATAACGTTGCAACACCCCAGCACCGAGTTCCCGCTACAGATCACTGCGGATTTCACATATTTATGCCTCCTGGAAGGAATGCCAACTAGTGCTTCAAAATCATCAGACCGGTCCATCCTTCCACGGCATTAAACCGTACGGTTCAGCTGTAACACCCTTCCGGTGCATTGCTCCCATGCCACCCGAAGGAAGCACGAGAGCTGGGATACTGTCAGGTTGCCCAAGCCTAGACTGGGGAAGTCGAGAGGTAGAGGTCAGGTTCGAACCATGGACCTTCCAGTCAGTAAATGCGCGCTCTAATCACTTGAGCGATCTCATCTCCGAATGAAACTACAGTGAAATATAAGGAAAAAGTGTTTTTTTTCGCGGACGTGGACTATTCGCTGGTGGAATGCGAATCAAACACACCGCAACCTCACTTGCCACGCAACCGATACTCAATATGTGCTTCCAGTTTACTATCAACCGACGGTTTCGTCCTTTTGGGGGGCTCATCAGGTAGGCACGATCTCCGAATTTCTGTTGGACGGATCTTCTTTCGTAAAGTGACTAAATTACCAGATTGGCTTTATTCCGTTCCCAGCTCGGTTGCTGGAATAACTGCCGAGTATAACTATGAGATGTGAACTCACACGAATCTTCTTCATCTGGGTCTGACTAGCTTGTTGAGGTCTGATCTGAGTTGGACTAACTCAACTGGCTGGACGCATCGTCCCACATGCTAATGCCACCGTCAAACAACAATATAATTAGACCCAAGAACAGACTGCGGTAGTTTAGTTCCCCTTGTCGTCGATAGGTAAACTAACACTACACAACCACGAATACGGAGCCGTCCAGAAGCAATAGAGTTTTCGTGCAACCCTAGCATTGGTTTGAGGTGCACCTCTAACCTTTGTACAATTAAGTCCCTTCTTCGGAGTACCATGGCGGGCTCGTGTGTTCGCGTACCACGGCTCTACCATGCTGACCGTCTGTCTGGCTCGCCGGATTGATCCTCATAGCTTCGAGTAAAGACACATTTATCCGCTGTAATACCTTTTCGGTGCCAAGCTACCCAGCTAACCGAAGGAAGCACAAGGGCTGCTGGGTTGCTGAAGTCACGAACCTTTCGGCCAGTGTGTTCACACTTTTGACCACGTAGCCATCTCGGTTTAGATCCTTAGTGGTTGCCCGTCACGAAGAGACTGGACCTTACCGTGGTGTGGCGGTTTTTGTACCTCGGAGACCCAATGAGCTATACTGGGGCGTGTCCGCGCGACATTCACAGAGTCTCTCATACCAGGTTGGTCCATGGGTAGATGTCTGACGAACACAGTCTCCTGGCCCTCCAGGTTGGGGGCTGGAACATGTATGGCAACATGTTCCGTAAAAATGGTAATGTACTTGCATTTCCACCCGAACACCGCTGCCTTGCGGTTAGGCTTTTGAGCCAAGGGCTTTTGTTGAGGATCCTAATCGTCCTCCTGTCTAGGTGTGGGCGCCCTGGCAGTACCCCAGCTCTCGTAAAACTATGACATACACCTTATTGGTTACCCGGGGTCACACGTTCACGTTTTCGCAACGGTAGTCCTATATGTTGACAATACATATCTCTGGTTGTTTGGTTTTCATATCTAGTTTGTTGCGACCTTTGTAGCTCTTGTCCTCTTTATCGTTGCTTATAAGAATACTTGTCAAGTGTACGTGATTGGTCGCCTCATTTGCCGTTTTTCGTGCCACTTGGGATCCATATTCCAATTTACATCTGTAGGACGATGATGAAGATGAAGAGAATAGTGAAGAGGAGGACGAGAACTATGCGCCTTCTGCGAGCGAACTTTCTGGTGAGGGCGATGAGGATGCAAGTGGAGCCGACTCGAGCTCAGAAGATGACGATGATGAGGACTGGGAAGCTGAAGAAGAGTCAGATGAACCGGAAAGTCTAGACTCGGATGAGTCTGAAGGAAAGGACTGGGAGGAATTGGAAGAGGAAGCTAAGCGCGGTAAGTTGTCTACTGTGGTCACCGTCCATGCTCAACGCGAACTACCTCTACCCGCCTTGGTCTGATCTAAAACTTCCATCCTAGTCACTGAGACAGTCTGTCAGCATGTCATGTTGAGCTAAAATGTCAGATCGGCCGAATTGATTCATCAGTGACTGGTTTATCAGACCAGATCTTTGTCAGCTATGATCTGTGTGGTCATTGCACAGCAACCCTGGTTGTCACACTATTGTTCGTTGATGATGGATGGCCGGTGGAAGTCCAAGTGCTTGGGTCAATGCATTAGCTTGGGTGCTCATTTTGGTCTTAGTATTTTCTTGCTGATTATTGCTCCCAATAAATTGAGTCACTTGACATGCTTGTTGGTTCAATTGAAGCCCGAGGTTTAAACAGATCGGCCAACAATTAACAATACAACTCCCGTTCGCCATATGAGTGATTCAACAAACGCGCTCCAGACTGATGTGCCCTCTTCGTAAACGGATACTGTCTTCCCAGGGAAGTTTCACTACACACGAATTTTAAAACCATGCCTCAGTATCCGATTACTATATGAGAGTATGAAACCAACTGTCAGCGAAGCGTATCGTCGCAGTGCTGGGGTTTCAATCCCCGATCACTTTACTGTCACTTATTGGTCTCGCAGAAGCATTCAGTCTCGATTGGTAATAATCAGTCTGCCAAATAATACATGACCGTGGTTTTTACCGTTCAGAAGGCGTATCACTGAACAGTAATAACATGAAACATCGATTGTGTGTCTACAAAAACAAGGCGCTGTTTGTCATGGGCGGAAAGGGCGGATTCTGTGCGACATTTCTTAAGAGCTTGTGAATCCTAAGATGCAGACTAACCTAACACATTTTCAACTCTCAGTCCCCGACCTTTGTGATCTTAAAAAAGGGCGAAAAAGTGAACTTTCATATGTAGCACCCTTTCTGTGCATAGCTACTGCACACCTTCAAGAGTCACTACCATGCTGCCCAAGTCTAGACAGGATCAGTGCAAAAAACAGTCGCGTTCGAATCATAGTAGTAGATCAGTAGTATCGCGCCTTAACCGCTGACTAAACTGGACCTCGCGACCTTTCAGTTCAAGAGTACTACGACCGACTAACTGATAGGACTTGATAAGCTCCCTATTGAATTGCTCGCTCGCTTGGTTGCACGATGTGCAAGGCTTTTTTGAGTCGCCCTTCAAATAACTAATTACTAACACTAACTGAAATCACCCCTTTGCTCAGGCTGATTTTCAGCAGCTCACCTGAAAAGTCCGCTTGTCACAGGAGTAAATCAACGTTTCTTTGGTACATAGACTGTCGTCGTAAGTAGGCCGTTTCTTATCTTGCTCCTTTGTGATTCATTAAGCTTTACTGGAAGGTCCCGTCATGACACAGTCTGATGCCTGTTTGGCAAACGTTAACTGTCCGCATTGTTCATAAAATTTGGACCTTCGATTGACTAGCCAAGCCGGATTGTTTAAATGGTAGGCTGTTGAGATTCCTAACCGTTAATTTATACATGTAAAGAATAACTTTATCTTAATGCTGATCATCTCAAGCGTACAGATCATAAAGCCAAGTTACTTTTCACCTTACTCAAATTCCACACCTGCGCAAGGCTTAGCTCAGTACTGCGATCCACCCACTCCAATGTGACCGTTCGCTTGTGCTCTCCAAATTTCGGTCTAATTCTCCACCTTCCCTCATTAGAGGGGAGATATTTTACAGTTATGTAAACACCAAGTGTGTACACTAGTGTTCGGCGGACATTGAGCACTATTCACTGCTTACAGGATAGAAATGTGATGCATTACAGAGTTAGAGCTGACCCCGAGGTGGTTATTTGCAATCAAACAAGCTTAGGTGAACGGACTTCACCGTTGATTTGTTCAATAAACTGGACGGTTTGGTTGTAAACGTTTCGTGACCAGTCGAGGTGATGTAATCAGTGTGTTTTTTTCAAATGGAATTGCACTGATTATGCCGCCTTGAGTGGTGGCGGGACGTTTGCAAGCGAACCGATCAGTTCAGTGAACAAATCAATGACCATCCTGACGACCTAAGCTTGCCAGGATGGAGGTTGGACGCGAATCTTCGTCACAATGATGATGTATGCTCTGTACATCACAAATCAAGACATGAGTTTTCCCTAAATCTATTCAACCAACTGAAATCAGGAAGTAAGCTGAAATAGCCCGCGCTGGTTCAGTGTTTATCAAGTTCTCCGTTTTTGTTTTGATCTAATTGTTTTTATTTTTGTTTGCTTCTCGAGTCTGGCTAGCCAGTTTAGGAATGAATATTTTGAGGTCAGTTTACGGATTTCGACGACACGTATGCAAGTAGGACGTCTCATTTCCATATAACAAAGGTTGCCGAGATTTTCCAAGTAAATAATGCGATTGAAGCGACTGATCTCATCACACCTCGTCATCTGTAGTTGAAAACACCCATGAATTCCTGACTTTTTGTTGACTAAATGAGATGTGCTACTAGATGCTCAAAATTCGTTGTCCTTCTCCATTGGATACACATTCAGCAGGGGAGGCCCGTGTTCACCTGAAGAGAAAACACATTTGTAGGCGAAAAATGCAGCGGTTAAACTCAAGTGGCATTGTTCTCTAAGGGAAGGTTTTTGCGAACCAAAAATGCGAGCAATGGCTCCTCTGAAAGCCATTGCTCGGCAGTCGCTTTTCGGGATATCTCCATGGTGGGTCACCAACGAAGAGTTTCATATTTCGGTGGAAGTGGTAAACAGAAATCCTCCGACAAAGTAGTTCCTATTTGAAGCGGACAGGTGTTCGTTTCTGCTTTGCATTCGAACGTGTCTTTTTGATTGCTTCGTCATTCGCTCATCCCCACATGTGTCCTGACAGAAACGCTCGCCTGAACTTTCGATTATATTTCTTCCGCTTATTGCAGAGGATGCCAAAAACCTGCTTTTGGATGAAGATGACAGCAGCCGTCGTAAACCCTCCAAGAAACGCCATCATTCACCGGATTCGCACAAAAAATCTTCAAAAAAGCACAAGCATCGATAGTGTCTTGTCGAGTCGAAGGGAGAAGAAGCTTTTGTCCTCTGTTTTTCTCTCCTCCGGATAGGTCCAAACGAGACGGTTCATTTTATTATTATTATTACTACTACTACTATTGTACACTGTAATTTTCCAGAGTCTTACTGTGCATTTATCAATCTTTCTGCTAATGGCACACCAACTTTGTATCTATCGTCTCCTGCTGCAGCTGATTGTGTCAGATGATGCGGAACCCTTTGAGCTTACCGCGGTTGAACTGAAACTAAGGATGCTACTTTTCGGGGAACTAATCAGGTCAGTAAACTCAGATCACGGCATAGCTTAGCACCAGTATGCACCGAGCTTTTCCGGGCTGTTAATTGGCCGATCACATGTCAGGTGCTGTATGGCATGCAGTACAAACTCGAGCGGGAGAAGGGAGAACACTCACCTAACTGCGTGCGGATGATGTCTTGTTGAATGAAGCCAAATCTTATTCTAACTAGTTGCTAAGCTGCAACAGCCCTTCGGTGCCTAGCTCGACGAATAGATGAGCACTGTTAAGATCATTCGTCTTCCTAAATTTTCCAAACTTAAAACATTCACATTTTCGACCGATCCTTCAAGACAACTGCTCAATGAATTTGTGGTCATTTTTGACTCAGCACGCACAAATCCTACAGAAACGCTATGTTCCGTGCTGAAAGGGTGTGAAACGCTGTTAAGGTCACGTCTTTCATCCAGCCAATAGCGTCCTTGGATTCCGATTGACGCTCGCGGTGTTCACGGCTCCGACGTATTTTAATGCTTAGAGCTCATAAGTGCCACTTATCGGTAACGCTGTCAATGTGAGCCACACAAAAACTCATTCAAGTTAATTTGAGGACCCGTCATCAAGAGACTGTATCTTATCGTTGTGTGACGGTTCGTGTACCTCCGCTAACTATTGAGCTATACTGGGAATTTCCGCGCGACACACCCAGTCTCTCATACCGGGTTGGTCAATGATTAGAGGTCTGACAAACGGTCTTTTGGTTCTCCTGCTTGGTGGTTGGAACATGTATGGCAACATGTTCCGTAGGAATGGCAATGTACTTGCATTTCCCGTCAAACACCGCTGTCTTGCGGTCAGGCTTTTGAGCTAAATGCTTTGGTTGAGGACCTTCATCGTCCTCCTGTCTAGCAGTATTCCAGCCTAGATACAACTACGAATTGCACATATACAGACAAACTCATGCGACATCTACCGTCGCGGGTGCCTTACTTGTTGCTACTGCTAACGTCTCCTTTCTCTTTCATGTGCTCTCTCCCACCTCATTAATGATTCTCCCCTTGTAGGCCCAGCACTTAGGACTGGTGACTCCCTTGGTCCTGCATCGGTTTTGAATACAACATCTCGTCACATTGTGCCGACATCCTCAGGTATCTCGAATTCAATCTTCAAACCTCAACACGCAATCTATCTGGCCGCGTTTAATGTCCGCACTCTGAAGCAAGCAGGACAACAAGCTGCTCTTGCTCCCACACTGGATTCGCTTGGCATTGATTTGTGCTGTCTCAGAAACAAGAATTCAAGATGCAAGCACAGTCTGTGAGCTAACTGCCCCATCACTCGCAGAAACAAGAATTCAAGATGCAACCACAGTCTGTGAGCTCACTGCCCTATCACTTGCTACTCGCTTCCGACTATGTACCTGGTGATCCAAGGGCTGCTGTGGCGGGATGCACAGGGGTTGGTATCGTCCTAAGTCAACGGGCGGAAGTGTCCTTGCTTGACTGAATACCTGCTGATAGTCGTCTCTGTGCGGTTCGTCTGGCAACGTCTGTGAAGACGTCTTACAAGCGGAAAGTTGTTCATTATCTGTTTATCGTATCTATTTATGCTCCAACTGACTGCAGTTCCGACGCCGTCAAAGACAGCTTTTACGAAATCCGGAATGCCGTGTTGTGGCGAGCTAAAAGCTCAGATATCGTGGTGGTTGCCGGAGATATGAATGCACAAGTGGGTGGGCTCAGCGTATCTGAGACCCAATTAGGTCAACATAGATTGGATTCGGTACGTACGGACAATGGGGAACGATTGCTTCAGGTGCGTGCTGATCGCAGGCTGTTTTTATGCAGTACTCATGTCCGAAATAGCCGAAGTCGTCAGGCCACTTGGTGTCCTCCAACAACAGGCCGGCCACAAACTTAAATCGATCACATCGCCATCAGTTACCGATTGCGTAGATCAACAACTTACTGTCGGTCGTT